CTTTTTTTCACTATATATGCTGCCAATGCTTGATTCCATATTTATTTCCAAATTTAGCAAGCATATAGTTTGTTTTCCAGCAGCTGATACTATCTTTATGAACTGCCAATATTTTGTCACTTATGTTCTTACCTCCCAAATCAACAAGTATAACTAACTTTTGCTTAGTATTGAAAGGAAAAATAAGGAAAACAAAATACTATTTCATTTTGATTTATCAGATAAAACTACTTTGTTATGTGCAATGAATCGTTTTTTAAAGTGATATATATATATTTTTTTATTCTGCTTTGCCCTGTTTAAACCTCAGCTAACCTCACTGCTGTTGCTTTTTAGGTGTCTTATAGTAAACCATGTACAAGTCCAGACAGAGTCCAGAGTTAGAGCAAGTTAAACAAGAGTTGCCAGTATTGTGAGTTGTGGATGTAGAACTTGATGTTAACTGTGAATGATTGGTTTTCTAACTTTCATTTTATGTGGAGAGCCTCTTCTGTTTTTCACTAGGCTTCCTCCTGGCTCTTCCTTCCTGTTACATTCTTTCTTGTTTCTTTCCAGAAAGTGTCTCAGCATTCTTTCCTGTAGTGTGCTCCTGTAGGGCTGTGAATGGTACATGTTCATGATTTTCATCTCTGAACTCTGCACATGTATTTTTCTTATACAGTAGATTAGAAATACAAACAGAACATTGTGTAAGGATATGGACTGATTACTGTGAGTGAAAATCAGAGTGGAATAAACAGAACGTGGCATGCAGTTCTGCCTTCTAGTCCAGGTGTTGCCCCACTACTTAATTGTGGACTTTTCACCAATCTTTACAAACTTCTGATATCCCCTTGCATTATCTGTGAGCCAGCAGCTGTGTTATATGATTTCTAGAATCCCTTTCAATTCCAAATCTCATTCAAGTCCCCAATCTGTATATGTAAAATTGTACTAAAGGTAGGACAGCTTGTAAACCTTCTTTTGGACCTTAAATTCTATTGGTAATTTTGTCATTATTGAGAATTGAATGAAATTGATCATGGTGATTTAATTTTGTGGTGCTTGTAAGCTGAACTGAAACCCCACTATTATTAACTTACAAGTTTTGAGCTTGGTTCCTAATCTTTCCTATTGTATGCACAACATGCAATAATAATCAGCATGGTATGTTTTGAGAATGCTTTCATTAAAGATTGGTGGGTTTCTTGATCAGATATTTACCTCATTAAGGCAGATTCACTGTGTCTCAGAGCAGCTATAAAATCCAGGAAGTGTAAGAACAAGTGATGGAATGCTAGTTGGAAAGACATGTTAGAGTTAAAATTTGACAGTAGGTCTTAGGCTGTTATCCTTTACTGTCCTTCAACCCAGTATGTGATAGGTTTGGGTTATAGACTGAATAGATGGGATTTTCAACTGTTTATATTTAATCAAGGGAGAATACGTCATAAATTTGTATATTTAAATCAATACTAGAGTTTTCATGAGATTTTATTGTTTTAGGTGTCATGGATTACTCAAAAGGATAGATGAAAGCTATCATTACTCTTTCCAGAAAAATAAATGCACATTGCTAATTTTACCTGCAGGTTGAAAGGTTTCATGGATATCCCATTGTGGATGGAGCCTTACTTTTCCATCTGGTATTCTTGGTCCAAATTCTTGATAGAAAAAAAACTCTGGTTGGTAAACTCTTTGGTGATACCCCTCAAAATACTCTAGATCAATGTTTATTAAACTGTGATCATGAGAACAATTGAATGGGTCAAGATGAAAACAAAACAAAACAAAAGAATAAAGTAGAAAATATCAGAGTAAATTGTGTTTTGTTCATTCTTTTGACTTGTATGCATCTATGTGTTTGTGTTTATACTGTCAGAAGATAAAATGTACTTCTTACTATGGATTGAGTATAAAGTTGGAGAAACTCATCTATTAGATGAGAAACACTCTTTTATTGTAAATGAACCTCTTCACTTTATAACTGGAAACTGAGGCCCTTAAAGGCTGAATGATTTGTTTAAATCCCTGCTGTCCCTATGTTACTTCAAGTGGTCCAGCTAGGATTGAACCATATTACTTTGTTACTAATTTTACCCTGCTGCATTGCTAATTTTTTGAAACAGAATTGTGAAGTAGATTATTTTAAAAAGATAGTTCATCTGCTTCACACTTGGCATTTTTGAATCCTTTGTTTTTTCCCACTAAAATAAATTCTGTCATTATCCTTTAAAATAATCTGATCTTAAACTTCTTTTCCATAGGATTAGCAGATATCCTAAGCCCTCTCAGTTGGCTGTCTGCACCCCTATTCCTAAAATGTTGACATTTAACCAGAAGGACTTTCAGAACAAGATATGAAGGGCCAATTTTTATTTCAGAATCAAATTAAAATGGTTTGAGTTGTTTTGTTCATTCGCTTGAGAGCTGAAATGTTGGTGTGGGATCTTTGGGAAGGCACTATAATGTCTTTAGTTTCTCTGTGAGTTTTTTCCTCAAACTTGAATTCCATACCATTTATAAATGTGAAGGGTCTTGTTAAAAGGCAGATTCTGATGCAGAATCTGGCTGAGATTGTGGGTTTCAGTAAACACTCCTGAGAGATGCTACTTTGGATCTTGGGACTACACTTTTAGTAGCAAGAACTTGTATTACCCGACTCATTACTGTGGCAAGAAAAGATAGCTGTCTGATCATTTTTCTGTTGTCTTGATTTTATTTCTTTTAAATATTTATTTTTTAGTTATAGGTGGACACAGTACCTTTATTTTATTTTTATGTGGTGCTGAGGATCAAACCCAGTGCCTCACGCATGCTAGCCACAACCCCAGCCCCCGTTGTCTTGATTTTAAACAGCCGTTCTCATCTGTCTCAACATTCACCTGAGTGAAAATTGATAATACCCCTCCTTGCAGCACTTTTCTAGGTGATTCAGACTTAGCACTACTTCATTTAACTGGCATTTTCAAGCCTTTCTACAAAATTTAATTTTCCACATAACTAGAATATTTAATTTCAGAAAGATCATTTTCTAAATGTTATAGAATTTTCTTTCTTAAAAGTATTTGCATATACTCTTTTTTTTCTTCAATTTAGTGTTGCAAAAGCCATATTTTTTTTAGAGGCTCTCTTTGTGGTGAATATTGAGCTATATGCAAAATGAATAAGAACTACAAAGCCTTCCATGTTGCTGTTGTATGTTTTTCTGTTTTGTCTCATTCATCTGCCAGTTAATGATGTCTCCTCAAAGTGGCTGGTGTCTCTTTCCATCCTGATTACTTCTGACCTGAAAAGCCAGACACTAGATTTGTGAGATGAATTTCTGTCAGAAGGGCCTTCCCAGGGTGGGGCCTTGCTGAGGACGGATATGATCCAAGTTCAGTAGCAGTGGAGAATTGAAATCCTTTAGTTTTTAACCATATTCTGAGTAGATACCTAAATTGGAGCCTACTTGTTTCTTCATGCCTTTTTCCAGGTGCTTTTTTAAACTCCTTGTTCATTAAAATGTATTTGAAGGTCATTCGTATGTATAGATGTATGATATATTAGCCCTGTGATTGATAATACAATAATTGCAATAAATTAGCAGCACTCAGGGTCCATATAAAATTGGGATGGGTAACCTTATGCTAAAGATTGTGGCTCTCTTTACACAGTTGTGTTCTGCAGTGTCTTTGAAATAGTTTTTAGAATAATAGTAATGACAGAAAGGAGGATATTGTTTGGTTTAATTTAGTGATTTAGTATTCTGGGAGTTTAAAAAATTGTTGGAATTATCTTTATTAGATTACTAATTATAATATTAACACTAATAGTTCTCATATGCTAAGCTCTCATTTTGTTAGTCATTACTTACATAAAATGCAACAATCAGGGCTGTGGTTGAGGAGGGTACATTAGATTGTGGGGGGCAGCAAGTGGCTGCTGTGCTTCCCACAAATGAGAATAATCCAAATAGATAGGGGTGAGATTAAATATCTTCATTAGTCCCTCTTTACAAATAAATATGCATATGAAGACTCTACAGCAGGTGTTTCTGGTTTTGTTTTTTACTAGAAATTGTTGGAGAATTCATATTTTTGAAAACCATACAGTAGTTTATATTCTGATCCAAAGCAGAGAGAACCTGTTTGCAATTTAACTAGGTAGCATCAGACATTTATCATCTTAAATAGCCTTACTATTGGCTCTGTGTTAGAAATTGTAGATTATATTCTTTAAAATTATAACAAGATTAAATGTGGAAATAACAGTTAAGTTGGAATTTTGAGATCCAGAACAGAGCACCATCTGACATATTTTTAGTGAATTACAGCCTTTAAACACTGATTACCAGATTTATCTCATTTGAATGTTATTTTTACATCTAGAATTTGTCTTAGGCTTCAGTGCAGCTCAGCCTACTGGTATAATCTTATCTTAATTAATAATGTTTTGTGACCTGGGAGTCCTGTTAAAGACCATTAGACAGGAGCTAGAGAACACTGGAAGGTAAAATGAACACATGGCCTTAGTTCTCTTCTTTTATACTGGAATATAACTTGCATTTAAAGACACTGAAAAATGAAAAGGAAAAACAACCTCCTTCCTCTTTCAGATGTAATAAATATGTTTAATATGGTTTTGCTATTGTTAATCCTTTTAAACTTACAGACTATAGAGGATTTTGTCTAAAATATTTGAAACTAAATGCTGCTGTAAAAAATATTTTTACCAGAAATCTAGAAATAGCTGTCTGTCTTATGCTTTGTTAATTTGATCTGCTTGTTTAGCTGAAAAAATAAAAATGTATATTCTAACTAAAGAGAAATTTGTGGGCATAAACTCCTTTCTTCCTATGTTCAAATATATTTCATACATTGTTTATCTTATTTAAATATACAGTAGACAGAGAATACAACTGCTGTTCCTTTAATATCAGAACTATGCACGTTACAATAGGTGTCACTGTTTTGCTTGGTCCAATCATGATTGGTGACTTCAGCTATTGGCTCCGAGCACTGGCTGTCTGACTCCATCTGCAGGGCTGTAATACCTACTCTCCTCCGATCCATTCACCACACAACTTCAGCTGGCTGAACAGACTCACTCGGCTCCAGCACATCTTGCTAACCTAATTCAGAAAACAAGTGCTACAGCTCTGTGCCTGTCGTCTTCGCTCAGTGTAGCATTTTCAGGTGATCTAGGTTGTTTTTATGAGCAAGTAAGAGAAACAGGAATCATGATGGGGATGTATTTAACAGACCCAGTACTGGATAAAACTTAAAGCCAGTTTCTATTCAACATAGTGAAAAGGTCACCTTGCCTGGCTGAGAAAAGAAGCAAAATATCAGCTTGTTGGTTTCTGTTAACATCTTGGCTCCGGCCAGCCTGTTTTCCTTGATGTTTGAACCAGTTTGGGATATCTAGCTGTAAAGAGAAACATACTGTACTCATGGTAGATGACAAGGAAAAGAACATGAAATGTCTCACCTTCTTCTTGATGCTTCCAGAGACGGTAAAGAACAGGTCCAAGAAAAGCTCAAAGAAAGCAAATAACAGCAGCGGCACTAGCAGTAGCAGCAGCAAGTTGCCCCCAGTTTGTTATGAAATAATTACCTTGAAGACTAAAAAAAAGAAGAAGATGGCTGCTGATATATTTCCCCGGAAAAAACCAGCCAACTCCAGCAGCACCACTGTCCAGCAGTACCACCAGCAGAATCTCAGCAACAACAACCTGATCCCGGCCCCCAACTGGCAGGGTCTCTATCCCACCATTAGAGAAAGGTAAGTACTGACCCAGCACATGTACTTTAAAAGTTTTCCTGTGTTGAAGTTTGTGCTTTTGAACAACCTGTAATGTATTTTAACACAAATCTGTGTTTCCTCTTTTCCCAGAAGCTTTATTGGTAATGGAAAACTGCCTTGTATCTTTTCCAAAACAGTACAGCTGTTTTCCTCTTAGACAAAAATGTTTTTGCAAGCTGTAATATTTAAGTGACATGGTTATATTCTATAGGCCATGAAAAATAGAAACCTTTAATTTGTCCTTAGCCTTGTGAAAAGTTTGTATAACTTAAAAAAAAAAAACTTTTGCCACTTCCTGTGTGTTTGCAATAACTACAAACACAGTTGTTTAGTTTCAATCTTTATTTTTTAAATTTTGCTATGAAGTTACTAAACTGTTGCTTAGCTTGTGAGTCTTTTATGGGTTTTTTATGTTGGAGAAAGGGATTAAGAATGCTGGCTGCTGTGAATTAATGAATTGCCTCTGTTTATAGAAATGCGGTGATGTTCAATAATGATTTGATGGCAGATGTACATTTTGTGGTTGGGCCACCAGGTGGGACTCAGCGGTTGCCAGGACACAAAGTAAGCAACAGCTGCATTACCGGTTTTGTACTGAGATTTACAAAAAGGGACCCTCTCAGTCAGCCTGGAACTTGGTGTGGGCAGCTTGCCGATGGCAGGCAGTGCATGTTTCCCCCAGTTACAGAGAAAGCATACCCTATCCAAAGGGCTTTGACCACGCTGAATTTTTTCATTGTTTCCTACTATACTGCTTTATATCTCTCACAGAAACATACCCTCTTAACTCTCCAGCCCTGGGAAGTTGTTGTGACAGGTTAGGAAAGTCATGTATTGACTGACCCCTTTCCTAGAAATAGTGAGATAAGCTTTTATTGTATTTATGTTGCAATGAGGGGACCCCTGCGTTAATCTCTGAAAGCTTTGAAATAATTAGCATAGAAGCTATGTTGTATGAACATCTTATATTTCCCTGCCAAATACCCTGTATCTTGTTTTTTTCAAAGGAACAGGTTTAGGTACTCTATGCCCACTAAACCTGATTGCTTAGAGTTGTTTTTCTGGATTGATTTGCTGAAAACACTTTCAATTTAGCGCATGAAATAAGATTTCCCTTTCTCCACAGTATGTCTTAGCTGTTGGGAGCTCTGTGTTCCATGCAATGTTTTACGGAGAACTTGCCGAGGACAAAGATGAAATCCGTATACCAGATGTCGAACCTGCTGCTTTTCTCGCCATGCTGAAGTAAGCATTATTTCTATGTTTGGAAAGAGTTTGTTTATGCTATATTTGTACCCTGCTGGCTTCAAAGTTAAATGTAAGTTCTGTATAACAAAAAAAAGGAGACTCTGATGAAGAAAGGGGGTGCTGCTTATCCTGTACATGTTTTTGGAGAAAACTGCTGTTCATCTTTAATTGGAAAGCATGTGGAATGATGCAAGCATTTATCCACACCTTGGCACAGGATGTGGGGGCAAGTGGCATGTATAGCAATTTGGTTCTTAATGGCTTGTAATTAAAGAAAAATAACTTTCAGGTGTAGGCATTGTTTAATAGCACATGTTCTATCTGAAATCAGTATGTGTGAAGAAGTCTTCAAAGAAATACATTGTTATTTCACAATTCCAGAAATTATATACCTTATTTAAACACTACAATTTGGAAGACTTCTAAGTTTTCTGAGTTGTTATCTCCTGACAGCAAATGTAGAATTCGCTGTCTGTTGACTTAGTCCGATCTTTTTGCACAAATACGGTACACTTACTCTTCTATAAAATTGGACACTTTCTCCAGAATAAGAAGCATTTGCATTTAATAGTAGAGGAGAAATTTTTGGAAGTTATAAATCGTTTTCTATGATTTCATGTAGATGTATACAGAAAAACTTCAATTGGTAATCTAGAAATACAAAAGTATATGTAATATTAATTTATATTAGCTTTATATCTAGTGGGTCTTTTGTAGCTTCCAGTATATGTCAAGCAGATACATGAATCATCTTCTGTACTATGTACCAGTGCTAGACAATGTGTGATAATCTACCCTGTTATTAAAATTTAGTGTTATTCTAAATATTATTTATATGCTTTCTCTTAATCTGCATTCATTTCTAGGACACTAAAGATTGAGTTCAAGGTCATCTGCTGCTCTAGGGATTTCAGTTCACTGAAATAAATAAAATTATTCAAAAAAATCATTCAGTGGGTCAACAAGTTGGACAATGTTCCCATTAATGGTTAAAATGTTGATATGTATTATTACTGCCTGCTGAAAAATTATAGTTCTAGAGCTTAAACGTATTTTTTATTCATATTAAAATTCTAATTGAAATCTAATTGCTGTTGACTAGGACTTTCACAGTGGAATATAGGGAAATGAAAGGCAAGTAAGCATGTGAAGCACCAAAACTTAAACTAATCCACCAATTTTAATCTTTGTGGTCTTTTAGAGAAGTACTTGCAGAAATCATTTTTACCTCTAAGGGTCCTCTCACCCACCCTCCATCAGAGGAAGTCAACTCAGTGTCTTTGACAGTATTATCTCTTGCAGAGCAGGATGCAGCAATACTTCAGCATTTTGGGCTTCACTACAGCCAAGTAGTTTGTTGAGTTGTTCTAGACGTATGCATAATTAGGAAGCAGCAAGATGGCCAAGAGCTTCATCTCACCTAACTCATTTGATTCAGCATTGGTCAAGTGTCTTTTCTCATAGTTGTATCACCTAGACCATGTATTAATACAGCTTTTTAAAGTTGTACACACAGTCCACATAAAGTGGTAGGAGTCAGAGATGCTGTAAGATGCCTTTGGCTGCCATGCCATAGTTGTGATACTGATGACCAGATTTCCTTCCTTGTACATTGTGGGTGAGAAGCCAATATTCCAGGAGAAGAGATTGTCAAGGGGATGACTGTGCCCTTGACTATTACAGGGTAAGAGTTACAAACCTACTCACCATGTTCCAGGATCCTTCCCAAAGTCCTGGCTCTTGGTCAAAGCAGAACTGAGCTGCAAGTGTATTGTCAAATGGCATCTGGCTTAGCCTATCAGAGAGGAGMAGGGCTTCCTAGGAGCAAAAGGGCAGGTTTCATTTGTGATCGTGGACATTTTTCTCTTTGCATGCTTGAATTTCTCTACTTTTTCACAGAAGGTATTGCTGATTTTTTGAGTTACATGTCTTTTACTAAGATGAAATAAAATAAATACAGGAAGACTTCAGATAAAGTACCTAGCACTTTAACTAGAAAAAAKTTAAAGGTAAATGTTATTATTTCTGGTTTTTTATGTTAACCATAACCATCTACCAGAAGCAGATAATTTCTACTTTCACATTCCATTTTGAGAAACTATCACTATCCTCTAAAATACCACAAAATGTGGCTTATTGACATAGAAACTCTACATTTGAGTTTTCCCATTTTGTCTTTTAATTAATACATATGGAAAAAATGTATTCTTTAATTCTGAAGGTGAAAAGAATATATGTGGGAGGAATTTAGAAGTTTTGAATTAAACAAATGAACTGGCACAGAGCCTGCTGTGTTCTAAGTAACCTGGAGGGTAGAATTGAAGTCCATATTTGATTATTTGTGAACTTGGCTCTATTTGAAAAATATTTAGTATCAGTTGTTTTTTGTTTTTTTTTAATCTTTAGGAGAAATCCAAAAGCATCAAGATAGGGTTAATGCTGAAATTATAGTAGTAAAGGCATTTTGTTTTTATCTAAATATAACATATGTAATACAATTTTGCTATTTTTTCTGATGTCAAGTTTGAATAGTTACAGTATCTTCTATTTTTGTTGAGAAGACACTGTATATAGCATGTGAAACTTGGGCCAGAATGGTAATACTAAGTTAATGCCTTTCATGATACAAACTTACTACTGAGCTGAGATAGTAATAACTTATAAATATAATTCAGATATTTCTTTAAGCATATTTATATTAAGTGTCACATAAAATGATGTTCTTAGAACAAATGTGAAAATAGTTGCTTCTTTACTTGCTGAGCATGCTCATTTTGTGAAAATTCCATTTATATATTGTATGTTTTCTTTCAGATATATCTATTGTGATGAAATTGACTTGGCTGCTGACACAGTGTTGGCTACACTGTATGCTGCCAAAAAGTACATTGTCCCTCACCTTGCCAGAGCCTGTGTTAATTTCCTGGAGACAAGCCTGAGCGCCAAGAATGCCTGTGTGCTCCTCTCCCAGAGCTGTCTGTTCGAGGAGCCTGATCTGACCCAGCGTTGCTGGGAGGTAATCGATGCCCAGGCTGAGTTAGCTCTCAAGTCTGAGGGATTCTGTGATATCGACTTCCAGACACTAGAAAGTATCCTCCGCAGGGAAACTCTGAATGCCAAAGAAATCGTGGTTTTTGAGGCAGCTCTCAACTGGGCTGAAGTAGAATGCCAGCGACAAGATCTAGCCTTGAGCATTGAAAATAAACGTAAGGTCCTAGGAAAGGCACTGTACTTGATCCGCATACCCACAATGGCCCTTGATGACTTTGCAAATGGTGCTGCCCAGTCCGGAGTATTAACTCTCAATGAGACCAATGACATCTTCCTCTGGTACACTGCGGCCAAAAAGCCAGAGTTGCAGTTTGTGAGTAAAGCCCGCAAGGGCCTTGTCCCCCAGCGCTGTCACCGTTTCCAGTCTTGTGCCTATAGGAGCAACCAGTGGCGCTATCGGGGTCGCTGTGACAGCATCCAGTTTGCTGTTGATAAAAGAGTGTTTATTGCAGGCTTTGGGCTGTATGGCTCCAGCTGTGGTTCTGCAGAATACAGTGCCAAGATTGAACTCAAGCGGCAGGGTGTTGTCCTGGGGCAGAACTTGAGCAAGTACTTCTCAGATGGATCCAGCAATACCTTCCCTGTGTGGTTTGAGTATCCTGTGCAGATCGAGCCAGACACCTTCTACACAGCCAGTGTGATACTGGATGGCAATGAACTCAGCTACTTTGGACAAGAAGGCATGACGGAAGTTCAGTGTGGCAAAGTGACTGTCCAGTTTCAATGCTCCTCAGATAGCACAAATGGCACTGGGGTACAGGGAGGGCAGATCCCTGAACTTATATTCTATGCTTAAAGCTTCACTTCCCCAAGCAGTGTGAGCTCGGGTGCACATCTGGCCCCTCTTTGCTTGATGCTTAGCTCATCTGCAGATATGTGATCAGTGCAGGTAATTTGTTATGAATGAAGCGGTAGGCAGTTTCTAATTTCTTTTACCCTTTTTAATTATGTACAGGCTAAAATGCAGCATTCCGCTTTTAACTATATGCTTAAAAGAGCCAAGTTCTTACTAAGGCTTTGTGGTTTTCAGAGTTGCGTCTATACACCTGGGGAGATTATGCTCTCTGAGATGCCCCACCAACCTCCCAGTTTCATGTCTCTAAAGAAAATTTTGGATCACCTCAAATTTCCTTTTGGATTTTATTTGATGAATGGAAATAGTCTAAAATAATAACAATCAAGAGTTATTTTTAAACAAAGCCCACCCCCCCAAAAAAAAACCAGATAAACCTCATTGTACAATTTTGAGAGAAATTTTACTTTATAATAAGTAATAATTTAGAATGTAGAAAGTATTCATGTTTGGCTCTTACATTTTTTTCTTTTAAAGTTGTTRCTTCTCGCTTTGCTTTTTTAATCCTAAACCAATAAGATTATTATACATTAACTCAAAATGGCAGTGTAAAATAAGAAACTAAGGAATTAAGTCTTGTTTTATAGGCAAAGGAGACTTATATTCTTTTAAGAAGACAAGGTAACACAATATGAACACTTCTTTTGGAAGTAATGAAATTATAAAAGTTTATTGTCAATAGAAAAAAAATTGCAGGCCTGCTAATTTACAGTAAAGGTTTTAAAAGAGAACCTAAAAAATCCCATACTGCAAATACTTTAATTGATAATGCGTTTGAAAAAGGCACTCTTTTCTTGCCACATAGCTTTGGGTTCCTATCATTTGCTTGTTTTTATAAATCGTACTGTATAGAATTCCTGATCCCTTTTCCCCCATTTAAAAGAGGACCAAACATTTCTTTAGAGGAATGGAGTAACGACTGGTTTTGTAGCACTACATTGTTAATGTCATAAAATACTTTTGTTTGTTGTTGTTTTTTTTTAATCTGAAATATACTTTATCTAATCTTTGACCATATGCTATTTTATTTGTTGATTATAGTTCTGTTCTCATTCTGGACTGCTAGAATCTGGCCTCTGGCCACCTTAAAGTGCCAATATATGCCTGCAGGGTTTTCAAAAATTGGTTGGAGTAACAGAGTTTGTTGTCCCTGAATTCACTGCATCAGCAGCACATCTGGCTCTCTTATTTGTCTATGGCTAATGTAAGCAGAGGAGGAAAAGCTCATTAAAAAATTCTCCTTCAGTGATGGCTTTTGTTGGTTTGGTGCCTGTGACCCTAGCAGTGCCCAGTGTGATCACTGCCAGTTGAAGAATCCATGTGTTTTTGGGCAGCTTTTCTGCTCAGTGTGATCCTGAGATGGCTTCTCCGCCACCTAGAGTGTGGTCCCTTGGCCGCCTCCTTCTCCTGCTCTGCAAGCCTGAAACTGGCTTGTCTGGGGCCAGGAGTTAGTCCTGGGGTGTGTGTGTGCTTGTGAGCCCATGTGCCCATGCGCATGCAAGTGCGATTGCCGACTCAGGAATTCCCTCCTCCCTGCCTGGTTAGTGAGAGGTGGGACACAATGGTCCCCCTGCTGTCCCCAGCCAGGCCCAATGAGTGACTGCCCTTGCTTATTCACTGTGCTTCTGGGCTGCTTTTTTTCTCTGTAGATGTGGGCCTGTCGCCTTTGGCGAGTGTCCCTGATGGAGGAGAACACTGGATTATGGGAACTGTTTTAATCACTTTTGCCATTTACCTACGTCTGTTAGCATAGCTGACTGAAAGTTGTTACTGGTGACTATAGATGAATACTGCCAGAACAGCTTTCTAGAATTATCTAACAGTTATTTCTTATTATGGACATGACAGGTTGTAGTTTTGGCAAAACATTAATGAAATAAAGATAAATTTTCACTTAAAAATACTTGTGCAAAGGATTCTATAGTAAAATTATGGTTAAACATTTCAGTAACTCATAACTATCATGCAAAATGGTCAAACTGGTTAGAAGGCACTTGATGTGAAGCCAGAGGAGAAGAAATGTTACTCGGCACTAATTTCATAGTTGAGAGGGTGAGTGTGATGGACTGCCTGAGAGTGGGGTCATTCCTTCACTGCTCTGTCAGCACTCCTGTTACATGAGTTGCCCTCTGCACAGCTAGGCTGCCGAAAGCCACATGAGATGCTGTACGCTGGGTATAAATATAGAAGAACTTAATTTTCTGTCAATTAAAAGAAAAATAAAAAGAAAAAAAACCCACTTTCACCATCTGATTGGCCTGTGGATAAAATTTGAAAATTGTATTTAGAATAAAAAATTATATATTTTAGACCAAGTCTCCTTTCTGCATTTCAACAAAATGGAATGAAAGCTAATGTGCTTGCTTTGTTTTCTTTGGTAATTTTGAATTTTGTAGCTTTTAAAATTAGAAACCATTGTTCTGACAAGGCAGGCAACTCTAGTGTATAAACACAACTTTATTAAACAGAGTACGCTGTAGATGCTTTTCCCAATGTATCTGGCAGTCTTTGTCATTGTTCATACTGGGGATAAAGGGTAACTAGGCTAGCAGTTCTAATGTAACATTCTTTAAGCATATCTTAAAATAATATTTAAGTAAATGGTCTAATTTCTACATAATTATTGCACTGAACTGTCTTTTTTGTTTTTTTTTTTTTTAAGGTGTTTAATAAGCTCAGCTAACTCAAGACACTGTAGCAACTTATGCATCAGTGCTTGACTTTAGCAGCTTACAACATTATTTATGAAGGAAAAATATATAAATATGAAGTACCTCATGTTGAATGTTATTGTACTGTATTTTTAATGTAACAGTGCAGATCTTGTTAGACACATGAATGTGTATACTCATGTTAAATGCAAATAAAATAAAACTGGTTCATAGATTTGTTTTCTTAGCATTTTGTCACTTCCTTGAAATAGTAAAAGTTYCATTCTGCACTTTTTGGTGCCACTATATTTTACAGAAATTATTTTGTAGGAGCATTTATTTGCTAAGTATTCAGATATCTTTGATCCCTAAGGAAGTAAAAATTTTGAGGCAAAAGCATAGGAGAACAATGGATATGTTAATCAATTGCATTGTTCAAAGCCTGACTGTTAAGTTAATGAGAGGGAGTGAATGGATGCATTTATATTCCTGTTATGGAATTTGTGGTTGGCTGGCATTCTGAAGCTATAGTTGATCAAATGTCTGGATCTCCCTGTACTAACCAGGGTATTGTACTCAATGGCATCTGGCTTCCGATGTGATCCAGTGCTGCTGCTTCTCTCAGTGTGAAATAGCTTAAGTCTAGGAATAAAAAAAATGAAAAAGATAAAGTGACAYACAAGAAATTTGAATATAGTTATATACTCAATTAGTTTTTCATTCTATTCACACACACACAACACACCCATATTCATTCGTAATTCTACATACACATTGTTTTTCTCTGCCACTTTCTGATGCTTTTCTGATAGAATTTATTGTGAAATCCCTATATAGTTAACCACTTCATTTTCTTGGGTTTCAGTTTCTACAGCATACACTTATTCAAAAGATTTTTGGAATTATTCCAAAGAAGAAGGGAATTCCCCATTCTCATCAGCTTAATCACAGTTACAACCTGAATTGCAAAGATCTTTAATCCAGAAAMGTCTTAGCCATTATCTCTTTTCTGTTGCTGTTTAAACTTAATCCATATGTTTGTTTTTATTATCCCAAGACAGTTGGGAATGATCCTCCTCCATTGTTGGGGCTCAAGATCAAGTCAACTGAAATTATACTTTCTTCCCAGTTGACTGTTTGACTTGCCTGGGAAAATCAGGAACTTAACACTTGGGAGAAAACAGAGAAGGTGGAAAGTATTTCTGAGGAACTAAATGGTACAGAATTTAGGAGCCAAAGCAAGCAGGTGGTCCTGAAAAATCTGTCAGAGCAAGGTTTTGAGTCCTTTGAGGTGCTTTCATAGAAGATGGGCATGCTTTTTGAGTTTCTAATTTGTACATTTCAACATTCTTTTCCGAGTCCTTTATGTTTATTGATGAACTACTTCCCTTGCTCTACAAGTCTTTTGTAGTCAAGAAACAGTAATACTGGACAATTTTTTTAAAAAATTGAGTTTACTCTTTAGTTACTTATTTCTGTTGTTCATGATTTCCATAATTAATGTTAGCACTGGCGAAGTTTCTCAACCAAGATGTTGCCAGGTAGGCAAGATGGAAATAACTGTGAAGAGATGAATCTCTGAAGAGATGAATCAACTACCGTTGATTATATGTCAAGTTATGTAAGACACCAGCAGCTACAAATTAGTCTTTRAAGAATGGGTACATTTTCCCAGCATGGGTATCTCCCCTTGGTAGCCTTTTCTAAACTTCTTTGGGGAGTGGAATGTGATGTGCAGGATATAATTCCTATTTATGCAGGCTCTGAATGCCTTATAATGATTTTTTTTTCTGTTTGCCTGCCTTTCTCTCAGATTATCTATCTATCTATCTATCTATCTATCTATCTATCTCTATTTCTATCTCCCCCTCCCCCCAAAGCCTTATGCATAGGAGGCAAGGCAAGCACTGGACCAACTGAGCTATATCCCCAGTCCTTTCTATTTGCCGTTCTACTTGAATGTCCAGTGGACATATTTTTACTAGTAGATGCTAATCTATACTCTGTCATCTAAAGTCTCTAACCTCAAGATGGTTAAAAACAGTTTGCTCTTTGCTATGTCAAATCTTTACTTATAAACAGGTCTGTATATAGGACATAGCTACATAGTTAAAAGTCAGCAGTTAAATGTGTGTTATATATTTCTCTACAAGCTGCTGGTAGAGACCAGAGCGGGTATGTTAAAAGTTACCATTAGGATGATGTTGTTTTCCACTTGATGTGACAACAGTCCAGAATATTGCTTCAAAAATTAAGATATACTTTTTATTACTTTGGTTGGACAGTTTTATATTTAAGAGTTTATCTCGTTTACATCATTTGTTTTATCAGTTGTTTTAAAGGAGTGAAATCATATTTAGAAAAGTGATTTTTTTAAAGTCACATCAGTGGCCTTATTAATTTTAACATGAAGGTCTGGAATATATCTGAGCAACATGTAGCATGAACACTGATGAGAGGAACTAAAAAGGTCTGAGATAATATTTTGATACATAGTTTCCTTCCTAAACTACTATGTGCAAAAAGTAGTATAAAGAAAGATATTGATTATTTAAGGTAGCTCACATAATCTTTTGAAACTTGAAGCAGAGGGCACCACCTTCTGCTATACTGTAGAATAGATGAAAATGTACTTTAGAGACATTCTGTGCATACTACGGAATTCTTGTTTTTGTGTTTGTCTTGAACAGCTCTAACTTCACTTTATTTTAGTATCCCTTATTATAATGTTGGCACAATACACTGATCCTTAACCAGTTCAAAATTAAAAAAATTGTCATAGATCTCAACTCTTAAAGGCAAATTCCAATTCTAAGAATATGTGTAGGTGCTAGTGGACCAAAGAATATTTATAGTGTTTCCTGCATAATTTAGCTTCGAAGAAGAGAAAGATTTAATGGATCATTTAGAGGATTAACTCACCATTCATTCATTCGTTGATCTTTTATTGATCCTTTTCCTCATCCCAGACAATCAAAGGTGCTGACCGGGGAGTCAGAAACCAATAAGATGTGGCAGTGTGTGTGATGGTGGCAAGTTCAGTGCATTGCTGCTGTACTGATAGCACACAGAAAAATCAAAAGACCAGACCCCAACCTAGAAATTCTAGTTTGTTAGGTCTTCAGTGGGGTCTGAGAAATTGCTCCCTGTGATGTTACTATGAAGTTCACATGGAGTATCTCTGAGCTGAAGAGTTTTTAGAGGAGGGGATTTTGTAGGTACAAATCAGTAGTGATAAGGTGCAGGATAAGAATGCTTGTGTCTGTATGCACATGATTGAGAAAGGGCAAGGAGGAAGAAGAAATGATGCGTGAGCTGGGCTTTGAAGGCTRTCTTAGAAGTAGCTAGGTTAAGGTTGGTGATTCAATTTGTCATTGGAAAGGGGAGGAAATTCCAGGAGTGAAATAATCAGGGGAGAGAAAATGGTAGACAGCTAAATGTGGCTTGGTAAAATGTCCATGTGGAAGAAAGAAACCASCTATTGTGGTGGGTTTGGATTAGGATAATGAACTGGCAAGAGCAGGAAGCAAGCACTTTTTGTATCAGACTTGACTCTTCAACATAAAGCAGTGACATTGAAGAGATTTGAGTTAGAGTAGACAACAGCTTTGTGTTTTAGAAACTGGTCTGCTCAGGAAGATTAGAATGGATCAGACCGGAGGCAGGGGAACAATTGGGGYTCTGAGTAAAGTAAATGAAGACTAAAGCAGGGTGGGGAATGGAGAGAAGGAAGAAGCTGAGGAGCAGAGGAGATCCCCCAGGCTCCAGTGGAAAAGTGACTGATTGAAGTTGGCATGGAACCTCTTGTCTCACGTTTATTCTTATGGAGCAGGAAGAAAATCAATCTCTCTCTCTCTCTCTCTCTCTCTCTCTCTCTCTCTCTCTCTCTTTCTCTCTTTCTCGATATTTTTTCTAGTAGATGGACACAATGCCTTTGTTTTATTTTTTTATGTGGTGCTGAGGAGCCAACCCAGTGYGTTGCCTGTGCCAGGCAAGTGCTCTACCATCTGAGCAACAACCCCAGCCCAGATAAACATTTTTCCTATACCATCCTCTCTAGGTAGTTGATTTATAGATAACTCCTCTTGATTCGGTACTTACATTCCTTTTTATTTTTATTCATTTTTTTTTTTTTTGTATTAGGGAATGAAACTAAGAATACTCTACCACTAAGCTATACTTCCAGCCCTTTTTATGTTTTATCATGAGACAGGGTCTAACTAAGTTGCTTAGGGCCTCACTAAATTGCTAAGGCTATTCTTGAATTTGTGATCTTCCTACTTCAGCCTTCCAAGTCACTGGAATTATAAATGTGTGCCACTGTGCCCAACTGTCTTTATGTTCTTGTAGGTAAGAGGTAAAAAGATAATGGGCATTGTGTAGCAGTTAACTCAGAACTTGGAGCAAGTCTAACACCTGGTTTAAAGCTTGGCTCCATCTGCATGGAAATTTTAGGGCAAGTTACTCAACTTCTGAGCCTCCGATCCCCCCAGAATGATGGCCATGATAATAACGCCTTCCTCAGGGGGTTATTATGATAACAACTACTTAAATCAGTATTTCTATAGCAGTGTCTGGCAAGCCAAGTGCCATGAAGTGTTACAAGTGGAACAAAATATAAAAGGCCACAAACTAAATTCATGAGCTTTCCTTATATACACATTATGTGAACCAGTTTGCTTTTCCTTTATGCACCCTTTAACAAGTCATCAATGCAGACAATTAAGAAGTAATTTTGTTGCTGTTCTTTTAAATCACTATGGTCAATAGCTTCAGAGTATATGAAGCTACAAAGGATTTGTATTATTGAGGAATTCTCATACTTTAACCAAATTTCTAATAAGTATTTCAATTTTGTCATGTTAATGAGATACAGAAATGATTTATTCTGATACAGATGGATTCTAGCACATCAGACACCTTCTCTGCTAGGGAATTGTCTAGGATTCCTCAGAAAATTTGTCTGCAAAAGCTGAACGCATGTGTGCGTAACGAGTTTTTGAGACATTTTCCAAGAGGTATGCTTTTTGCAAGTTTAAAAAAAAAAATTCCCCTTTACTAGTTCTAGTGTTAAAATAACCCCTTTTTCCAAATATTTTGCTATTAGAATCAGTTTTAACATTGAAATTATTTATTGTGTCAAAAGCAGGTTTGACCTTTATTATGAGTGAAGTGAATATTACAGGGAATATTTGAGTGGTTAATTGATTTTACTCAG